ATATTTGCACACAATCTTAAGTCATTTATGAAATTGTAGTAGAAAAATCACTGTTGCTTAAAAACCTTAGAATGGCTACTTATTGTAATTTAAAAAAATCAAACCCTATATTCGCTTCATAGACCCATATATGTGTTGTACACTACCAGTTTTTCTACATTTAACTTTAATAATTTTCACTTTCACTTATTATATCCCAATTTGAACCTAGTAGTGTTCTTCAAATACATGTAGTTCATTACTACTGTCCAGATTTTTGCACTGTTTCTTCTGCCTAGAATGCTTTTACTGCAAATGTTTGCATGGTTGGCTCTCTCAGTTTATATAAATATCAGCCAAAATATCTATCAGTTCCTCAAGAAGTCCCTTCTTGAAGACTGTAAAGTAAACTGATTACCCTTGCCACAGACTATCTATCATTTTGCTTTTCTTTTGAGTTTCTTCAGGACAATTTCTCTTTCTGAAACAACAATACTTATTTTCCATCTTAATGGCTATCTATTCCCACCAGATGTACCCTTCAGGAGAGCAGTGACTTTACCAATCTTATTAATAACTCTTTCTCCCATTGCCTAGAATAGTCCTGAGAAGTGGAAGATGTAGTGTTTGGAAAATGAATAAGTTAATTTCAGATGAAATCCTCCAGTTTTGACTTTCATATTCATCCTCTCCCATCTTCTATCAGGCTAAGAGCTGATTAAACAACCTCCTCATGGAAGCTTTCACTTCCTGGTTGCGAAGGGTATAAATCATAGGATTCAACAAAGGAAAGATCACTGTGTGAAAGAGAGAAACCACTTTATCAGCTGGGAATGCTCTGAAGGGTCGCGTGTAGATAAAGATGCTAGGCCCAAACATGAGAAATATAACAATGATATGGGTGGTGCATGTGGACATGGCCTTGTTCTTTCCCTCAGAGGAGGACCCACGTACACGGCAGAGGATAACTGCATAGGACGACAAAAGCCCCAGGAAGCACAGGAGGGTCATCAGACCACTGTTGAAGACCATCAGAAGCTCCACCACAAAGGTGTCTGTACAAGCCAGCTTGATGACCTGTGGCACATCACAGAAGAAGTTATCCAGTTGGTTTGGGCCACAGAAGGGCAAGCGGAGGATGAGGGCCACCTGGATAATGGAGTGGACAAAGCCCCCAAGCCACAAAGCTAACAGCAAGGCATAGCAGGCCCTAGGGTTCATGACAGTTGAATAGTGTAAAGGACGGCAGATGGCAATGTAGCGGTCAAAGGCCATCACAACCAGTAGTAACCCCTCCCCGCCTCCAAGGAAGTGCAAGAAAAAGAGCTGAGCAATGCAGTTCCTGTAGGAGATTACCTTCTTCTCAGAGAGGAAGTCCACCAGCATCCTGGGAGCCACAATGAAGGAGTAGGATGCATCCAGGAAAGCCAGGTTGCCCAGAAAGAAGTAGAGAGGGGCTGTGAGGCCAGGGTCCAATCTGATGGTCAGGATGATGAGGAAATTTCCAGGGAGGATGATGAGGTAGAAAATTAAGATAAGCATAAAGACAAGGAGCTGAATATTTCGAGATTGGGTCAGACCAAGGAGGATGAATTCCTTCACCACTGTGCTATTTTCTATCTCCATCTCCTCTGCCTACAGAAGATCAAGGAGTAGAGAATTTATTTCCTTCTCTTCCATCTAGGTCATAGTTCTTTCTAACAGCAGTGAATGCCACATCTATGTCATATCCTCACTTTCCTAAAGCCTAAGAAATCTTTTCTACTCTTTATTTTTCTACATTATAACTGTCAAACATCCTGGTCTTAAAGCCAAACTCTTTTTCTGCTTTAGTCCTATGCTTCTACTTAACTGTTCTCCCATGTGGGAGTTGGAATGCCCTTGCCCTGGATTTATATTTGCATTAGACATATGAAAAATTTTCTGATTAAGAAAACTTAACCATAGTTATCAAGTTCTTCGGGTTTTTATTTGAATAAGGAATGAGGTGGGGATGCACAACAAAGAGAAATGACAGAAATTCTTAAGGTGACAGATTTGTTCCATACCTTGACTGTGATGGTACCGTGTCTATTTATTTGTCAAAATTTATTGAACTACTAAACTACACAGAAATTAGTACATTTATTATATGTAAATTATACCTTAGGAATGTTGACCTAAAAAGCTGAAAAGGAAACCTGTATTTACTTTATTTCTCTATAGAATATCAGCCCATCAACCTAGTCTAAATATAAAGAATTGTGGTCATTCTGGAGAAATTAAGACTGGTCTGCACAGTGGTCTCCAAATTGAGGATGTGCTCACCCATCAAACATTATAATTTACTGGTGTGAGAACAATAATAGTAGAATTTCTATACATATATTATTATATCCCATTCTTTGAAATTTATTTTTGAAAAGATTTATAGTTTA